GTGTCCACCTGTCATTAAAAGTATCACAGAACAAGATTTGTGTATGGACAATAATTGCTATATTTACAAGTGAACTATGTTCTAAAAGTTGATGTTAATGTTTCTGTATTCCATCGCTGAGAATTTAGGCACTTATGTGCCAGGCACTTAACTGATTGTGAGAAAACAGGGACAATCCAGCCCCAAACTCCTTCAAAGGGCTAATATTTTAATGTGCATATTGTGAGAGGTTAGCTCCATTTTTGAGCAATATCTCATAAAATGCACACTTACTTTTCTTAATATAGTCCCTCCCATTTCTAAATGTATGTGTCTGGTTAATATATTTTTTACCCTTGTAAGCCATTTCAAATCTTTTCTGAAATAAGCAGGGTAATCTAAATATATAAAATGAGACCATGCTTATATTTCCATACTAGCTCATAGAAACCTGAAGCATAATACTACTACTATTAATATAGTCACGGGCCACATAACATTTCTGCCAATGACAGACCACATATATGACAGTGACCCTGTAAGATCATAATGGAACTGAAAAATTCCTATTGCCTAGTGATGTTGTAGCCCTTGTAACATCGTAGCACAACATATTACTCATATGTTTGTGGTAACACTGGTATAAACAAACCTACTGCGCTACCAGTCATGTAAAAGTCTGGCTGCTAGACTAGCTAGACAACTACATATGGTATATAAGACTTGAGAAGGATAATAACTGACTATGTCACTGGTTTATGTATTTACTATACTATAGTTTTTGTCATTATGTTAAACTGCCCTCATTCTACTTATAAAATTAAGTTAACTGTAAAACAACTTCAGGCAGGTCCTTCAGGAGGTATTCTAGAAGAAGGCATTATTATCATAGGAGACGACAGCTCCATGCGTGTTATTGCCCCTTAAGACCTTCCAGGGGGACAAGATGTGGAGGTGGAAGGCAGTGATATTGATGATCCTAAACCTGTGTAGGCCTAGGCTAATGTGCATGTTCTTGTCTTAATTTTTAACAAAAAAGTTTAAAAAGTAAAAAAAAATTATTTTTAAACACAAAAAAGCTTATAGGGTAAGGGTCTAAAGAAAATATTTTTGTGCAGCTGTACAATGTGCTTGTGTTTTAAGCTGAGTGTTGGGATAAAAGAGTCAAAAAGTTAAAAAAAATTAAAATGTTATAAAGTAAAAATGTTACAGTATGTTAAGGTTAATTTATTATTGAAGAACTTTTTTTTTATAAATTTAGCGTAGCCTAGGTGTACAGTGTACGTATCTACAGTAGTGTACGGTAACGTCTAAGGCCTTCACCTTCACTCACCACTCACTCACTGACTCACCCAGGGCAACTTCCAGTCCTGCAAGCTCCATTCACTTACATGAATGGAGCTTGTAATTGCCTTGCAAGAGCTCCTATAAGAGCTCTCTAAGGGGTACCATTTTTTATATTTTATGTCATATTTTTACTTCACCTTTTCTATGTTTAGATATGTTTACATACACAAATACTTACCACTGTGTTACAAATGCCTACAGTATTCAGTATCAACATGCTGTACAGGTTTGTATCCTAGGAGCAATAGGCTGTACCTTGTGGCCTAAGTGTGTAGTAGGCTACACCGTCTAGGTTTGTGTAAGTACATTCTATGACATTCGCACAAAGACGAAATTGCCTAACACATTTCTCAGAACGTAAGTGACACATGACTGTATTTTGACCATATAGACAAGTAATCATTTATAATATTTTTTCTGAAAGAAATGATTTTTAAGCTCAGACTTGGGATGGAGAGCCCACAACCTTGGCAGAGGCTCCTCCAGTGGAGTGAGTCTCACAAAGCTGAGATAATTCGGTGGTTGTCTTTACTGCTTATGAAAGACCACCTCTCTAGGCTCTTTGGCCTTCAGGTGTTGGGAATTTCACTTTCTGAGGTCAGGGCTACAACACCCCCTCTGCTCTACCAGCAGTTGTGGCCTGAGTTTTAGACTGACAGTAAAATGCACAGAAACAGCAGGCTTCGCCCAACCCCAAGACACCCTAGCTTTAAGGAAGATACAGGACTTGCATCCACGTGGCAGGTGTGGTGATTCCTGCCCACAACCTCAGAATACCTCCCTGCCTCTCCCCATGAAGGGTAAGCACGTGATCAGGAGAGGAGCCTAGAGTGTGGGGACAAACGGCTTAGGGAACTTGTTCTCTCTGGGGTCCCTTCAGCTTTCGTCCCTGGTTGTCTCAGCCCCCGCAGGCCGAGTGAGGTGCGCCTGGGCCTGCGCAGCAATCGGCAAAGCCCTTTACTCGTGACTGACAGGTGGCTGAAGCAGCGAGGGGCAGGTGCTTGGTCCTCCCTCCAGTCCCCAGTGGGTGCTTGTTCTACATCCAGTATTCCCCTGTAATTCCTGGCCTTGGTGCTGCAAGAACCCAACCAAACCAAGGGCCGAATCCTCCTGTGTCGCTCTGGCTAAACAATAGATCACAAACGAGCTGTTAAGCCAGGGCCAGGACTCCCCCATGTTTGTACCCTAAGAACAAGACCTGGCATACAATAGGTCCTCAGTAAGAATTTGTCCAGTGAATATTTCATTTTGACCTCTGACTTTTAATTATTTCATATTAAGATGGTGAATACAGGCAGTCCCAGGGTTACAGACGACCCAAGTGACGGTGTTCCATACTTACGAACAGGGTCCCAAGGCTCTCCATGAGGATAATTTATAATTACATAATTAAATTAATAATTCAGGAACTAGTTTCTTCCACGCATGTAAACAAACCCGGTGGCATAAGTGGTTCGTTGGTGCAGCATCTTTATGGTAGCGGCTAGTCTCGCTGTGCATATGGTCGCTTAGTCACGGCACTGCTTCTCCTTACCTTTTTTATCCCATTCTGTGTTTCCCCTTATTACCATGCCTTCAAACCAAAAGTGCACTGCAAGTCCAGGTGATCCTGCAGTGAAAAGAAAGGTGACGACGATGGAAATGAAAGTAGAAATAATTAACTGTTCAGAGAAAGGCCAGACACCATGATTCACTGGGAAAGCGTTAGGTTTCAGTCGCTCGACTATCAGAACAATTATAAAGGATAAAATGAGAATAATGGAACTTGCGAAAGGCAGAGCTCATTGAAAGCATTAATTATTACTAAACAGTATAGTGGATTAATTATTGAAATGGAAAGTTTATTATTGATTTTGTTAGAAGATCAAAATAAGTGTAACATTTCTGTTAGCCTAGCATTGATGCAACTTTTAGTGTTAACCTTTAATATTTGTTTTTGAAATTTCTCCTATCTAAACTTTTTGTTTGAGCTTGTTTTTGTGTTCTGTCTGTTGGAATTAAAAGAAAGAACACAATAGTTTCTGTAACTTATTACAGTACAGGGGTTTTATTATTATTGTTACAGTATTACACTGTATTATTACATGTGTATTACCACATCTGAGCTATTATAGTAATGTTATTATTATTACTGTATGTGCACTGTTCATCAGGGATGCAAAATTATTTAGGTTATTAAGTATGGCATGCCCTATTTTCTTAAGTACTAAGTTTAACAGTTGATATCTCTTGAATTTCACTGTGATATTTCATATATTTTTTTTCTTTTATTATAAAGGTACATCCTTACTCTTTCAAATGCATATTTTGGCTTGTGATTATCTTTCAAAAAAATTTCTAGAGCAATTTTTGTGAAACCATGGATAAGTCAAAAATTCATGTTATTTTTGAATATGAGTTCCGTCGTGGAACCAATGCAGCACAGACAGCTAAAAATATCAATGCAGTGTTTGAGAAGGATGTGGCTAATGAATGCACAGTATGTCAATGGTTTGAGAAGTTCCATCCTGATGATTTTAATCTTGAAAATGAGTCACGTGGGTGACCTGATACCAAAGTGGATAATGATGAGCTGAAAGCTGTAGTGGAAGTGAATCCATCTCAACTTATGTATAAATTAGCAGCAAGGTTTGACATTACTATTCCAATAATTTTGGACCATTGGAAACAAATGAGCAAGGTAAAGAAGCTGAATAGATGGGTACCACATGAAGTAAACGAGCATCAGAAGAGAAATTATCTAGAAGCTTGCCTTCTTTGCTGTCACAACATAAAGGCCAACCATTTCTACACCATACTGTTACATGTGGTGAAAAATGGATTCTTTTTGACAATCGCAGGTGTTCAGCACAATGGTTGTATAAAGATGAAGTGTCAAAACACAGTCCAAAACCGAATATTCATCAAAAAAAAGCTAATGGTGTGTGTTTGTTGGTCCAGCGCTGGTATTGTCCACTATGGCTTCATGAATCCTGGTCAATCTATTACAGTGATATCTCCTGCAACCAATTGGCTAAAATGATGAGGATACATGTGATTAAACAGCCAAGATTGGTCAGTAGAGACAGGCCAATTTTCTTGCAAGACCACATGTTGCAAAAAAAAACATTGCTCAAACTATAGAAGCTGGACTTGGAAACTCTCTGTCATCCCCTGTATCCACCAGACCTTTCACCAACTGACTGCCACTTCTTCCAGGCTTTGGACCACTTCTTGCAAGGAAAAATATTCAGTTCTCAACAAGCTGTGGAAAATACCTTTCGCAATTTAATCGCCACTTGCTTTCCAGGCATAAACAAACTACCCTTAAGATACCAAAATTGTGTTGACAGATGAGGCACACACTTTGATTAATTGTAGGGCTTCTTGTTTGAGATATAATAAACTTTTGCTTAGAAATTGGACATCACATATTTAATGACATAATACCTACAAATCCGACCTAAACACCTTGTCAGGAACATATCTCGTCCATAACCCAGGGACCGCCTGTATTCATGTATCTAGTGTGTTTCCAAATGTAAATGATTGCCTAGTAAGCAAAATTAATTTTTTCCTATTTTTTTCTATTTTAAAAGTAATTTATATCAAAGGCCTTTGGCCTTTTTACTGGTAAAAGGCATGATGATTAGAACGTAAAGTCCTAAACTAGTTTCTTTTAACCTGTCTTTCAGACTATTTGAATACATTTTGCTCTATAAGGATGGAGTGATGTTTCAGATTGAACAAGCCACCAAGCAGTGCTCAAAGATCACCCTGACGGAACCCTGGGATCCTCTTGACATTCCTCTGAACTCCACCTTTGAAGACGAGTACTCCATCGGGGGGCCCCAGGAGCAGATCACCGTCCAGGAGTGGTCCGACAGGAAGTCAGCCAGATCCTGTAAGGATGAAAAGAAGGGTTTGAACATTGTGCCCAGGACTCATGATGGGAAGAAAGGTCTAAGTCCATTAAGGAAGGTAGTTGTTAGTTGTTAGGGGCAATTATAAGCTTCATTAAGTTGTTCAAAGTCCCCATTAGTTGCCCATGTTGCCTTGCTAATTATGTGGCAATGGGATCTAAGTATTTGAAACACCCTCCGCCAACTTTCTAATGCCACCTGGACATTTCCGCTAGTTTGGCTCTCGTGGACTTAGCCTTGATTTTGACTTTTTGTGGTCACCCCAAGGTCTGTGCCATGGAAAGCATTTTTCTAAGGCAAACATTTGAATCGGTGCCTCTTTTTCCTTCCGCTACGTCACTCCCTAAAGTTGTAGTGATCAAATCTACTGCCATTATTCTGAGTGTCCAGATGTCCTGCTTTTATGTGAAATTATTCTCAGCTCTGCTGCCAATATGCCCATCCCCAGACTGTTTTACACATACAGGCATGCATGCTGTGGATCACAGTGTGGTGGTTCCTCAAAATGTTAAACATAGAATTACCATATGATCCAGCAATTCCACTTCTCGATAATATACCACAAAGAATTGAAGGCAGAGACTCAAACGGATAGTTTTATAGTCATGTTCACAGCAGTATTATTCGCAATAGCCAAAAGGTGGAAATATCCTAAATGTCCATCAGCAGATGAATAGATAAATAAAATGTTCTCTCCCTCTCTCTCTCTCTTTCTCTCTCTATATATATATATATGTACACACACATACCCCCACACCCACGCACATATTATTGGAATATAATTCATCCTTAACAAGGAAGGAAATTCTGGCTCATGCTACAAGCTGAATAAACCTTGAGAACATTATGTTAAGAGAAATAAAGCCAGTCACAAAAGACAAATATTGTTTGATTCCACTTATATGAGATACCCAAATTCATAGAGACAGACAGTAGAATGGTGGTTTCCAGGGACTGGGGGGAGAGGAAAATGGGGAGTTAGTGTTTAATGAGTGCAGAGTTTCAGTTTGGGAAGATGAAAAAAGTTCTGGAGATGGATGGTGGTGATGGTTGTATGACAGTGCGAATATACTCAATGCTCCCAAACACTTAAAAATGGTTAGAATGGTAAATTTTATGTTATGTACATTTTATCACAATAAAAAATATAAGCATTTTGCTTGTCTTCTCTATTAAAAAGTCAACTTTCTCCCTTTTATAGATGAAACCTGGATTGGCATCTATACAGTCAAGGATTGTTATCCTGTCCAGGAAACCTTTACCAAAAATTACAGTGTGATACTGTCCATGCGGTTTTTTGACATACAGCTGGGCATTAAAGACCCCTCAGTGTTTATCCCTCCAAGCACGTGCCAGACGGCCCAGGCGGAGAAGATGAGCGAGGACTGCTCCTGGTAGTCTGCAAAGGCAGAAGTGATGGCAACGATGTCAGCCGCCTGTGTCCCCAGCTGGAGACTGACTTGAGACTGTTTGGGGTGAGAATCTTCATTGGAGATAAATATAATCTTAGGAAGATATACATTGATGTGGATTTTTTGCATGTTGGGTTTTGGCTTCTCAAGCTATGTTTACAGAAGAGAATTGAGTGGAGAGGATTGTGAGCTGACTGGATGGCTAATATGGACACTTCAGGTCCTGCTAAAGCCTCTTTGGGACTGGACTTTCTGTGTGTGCAGGTGTGCCCGCAGTGCAGCGCCATACAAAGACGGCAGGGGGTCAGTGGGAGCAGGTTGTCTTGGCCAAGGAGGAGTATTTTATTGCTGCCATCGTTTAGAGTGGGTGATAATAAGAAGCAGAATGATTCTGGCCAGTTTTGTTATTAATTCTTAAGTTCTCTGCAGAGAAGTCCCCCTTTACTGCTGCACCAGAGTGGCAGGCTGCTCCCTGGCCCCACAACCCTCCCCTGCACTTCCTTGGCCACCAATAAAATGATCCCTTAAAATTCCTTCCAGACTTAAGAGCTTTATGGCATAACCCAACAGATACAAGTATTTTTGGAAGACTATAATACTAAGTAATTATTCCTATAAAGAGACATTCTAAGCAAGAGGGTTTGGAAAATCCTGATGTCTACACCTGGTTAAGTGTGAGCCATGTATGCTTCCTTTTGTCTATGCAAGAGTTTGATATATGTGCTGAATCTTCACATATTTGTCAATTGACAGGCAGTGTTCTATATAAAATAGCACTGAATTGGGAGTCAGGAGACTATAGTCTCCTAAGTCCAGGACTAGAATTCCCTTGGACTGTAACTCCTTTGGTTATTAAATGCACTAGGTTTGCCCTCACCTTGGCCTTCCTGGGACACTGTTTCACAATCTCTATGTCTGTCTGACTTCTGCTCCTCCTTCCCAGGTCAGCTCACTCTCAAGGCTGCTCCCAAGCCTGGATGAGTTGCACCTTGCAGCTCAAGCATGCATTTCTCACAATACCTACTATGCTGTGTGACAATTTCCTGCTTCCTGGACACTATCATCCGCTGCCCTGGCTATAAGCTTTTTGAGTACGGGTACTGTGTAGTGTTTACTTTTATATCCCTAGCACCAAGCAAGTGCCTGGCACATGGTCAGTGCCCTAAACATCTGTAGAGTGGAGAAGGCTAGCCTCTCTGGTCCTTAATTACCTCATCTGTTCAATGGGGTTGAGTTTGTTGATCGCTAGGGAGACTTCCAGTAATAAAATTTATTATCTTAGATTCTTCTACTATTGTGTTTCATCTGACCATCTATCTTCTTTAGTTACCAAGAGAAATGTGTGACATCTATATTACGCTGAAAACAATCTGTATTATTCAAGTTTATCTGTATTTCAATAAGCAAATTTAATGCATTTCAAAGCATTCTTTGTTATATTTGCTTTTGTAATAAATATGGATAATCTTGGTTAGAAGGGATTAAAACTCCTCTCTAACAAATAAATAAAGTGCTTTCTGTTATCAAAACCAAATTTTTTGTCCTCCCTCAAAAATCTGCTTTTCCTCTTACCTTCCCTAGAGTACAGTCCCCAGGTGCCTGGGTTGGAAGTTTCTGAGTCATTCTTGACTCATGAGTCTCCTTCAGTCCCTACCGTAGTCAGCATCCCAGGTCCCATCAAAGTAATTCTTAAAGCTATTGCCTCTTGTCCATTCCGTCAACCACCACCCAGCTCTGGGCTCTTAACATTATTGGCCTTTGCAGGATCTTCCCACCCTCTGTCCTGTGAATAAATGAAGCCATCCCGTGTCCACGAATTCATTCATTTGGTCAGTCAATTGACAAGCCGGTACTGAGCACCTGCTCCCTGCAGAGCCCATGCAGGTTCCTGGAGTTCCAGAGGAGGGTGAGCCCAACCAAGGCTGGCATCCAGCGTGCATAGACTGGGAAGAGCTTCATAGCTGTGTTCCCGGTGGTCCAGCCTGCTAAAGCTCTTGTGACGGTGTTTGCCCCACTTCCTGTCCCTCCACCCATACAATGGTCCCTCTCTTCTCCAAGCTGCACAGCTCCCCTTATCCCTGGGACTTTGTCTTTGCCCATGTCCAGACACCACATCCCCACTCATAGAAAATAATAAATAAAAATTCAGAAGGATTTTATATCTGGTAGGGACACTATATAAATCTGAGGATGCCCTACCCCTGTGGTTCTCCTCTGTCTAAAAGTACAGTGGGGACCCCCTAGCTTGGTAGACAGGCCCTTTTTGGTCAGACCCCTGAGTCTTTCCAGCCTCACCACTGGACACAGCTTTTTCCTTCCCTGACTGTCACAGGAGCTTGCGAAGTAATGGCTGGTTAACTCTGTGTGGCAGGAGGGTTTTCTTAGTCAGTTTTTTGGTGTAAAAACCTTCTAGTGGTCATCAGAGTCAAAATGAAGAGGGCCATGAAACAGGGCAGGGACTTGCAATGAAATAGAGCACCCCAGTGTCACTTATCTGCAGCCTGACAATGGCATCACTGACAATGGGCATGGACCAGGGATGGGTACCACCTTGTGGATACCCTGCCTCATACGTCTCTGACCCTTTACACTACATGGGAACAATTTATTTCCACCTTTCCAGAGGCAGCCTGGACACTTCCAAATTGTCAGGATCCGTGTGAATGCTGGGGTGTGCTCAAGCCTACACCTCCTTCAACTCCGCTGGCTGAAGAAGGCCTGGCCCTCGGATGGAGCCATCACTCCCTCTCCCACCAGCCGATGCAGAGTCAAGGCAGCCTGGCCTTCCTGCCCACAATTGCTCTGTTATCAGGGGGACTTTCTTACTAGACATTTTGCTAATTAACATTTCTAAAACTGGGACACCATTTAGAAATCCTTTAAATATTTAATGAAGGCTAAAAAGTTTAGGACTTTGGGGAAATTTTCCGTGAACTATTCATAATTCCCCACCAAGCTAAGTCCTGCATCATTTGAAAACTCAATACTCACCTCTTGCTGGATTTCCTCCACTAACTCCACGCTTTGAATGTTCTCTCTGTTGTTTTAAGTCTTTTTGACTATGTACTCACCTGTACCACACAGAGGTGTTTTCCAAATATATAGATCTTATCTTCCTCCATCTAAAGAAAGCACCTCAAATGCAGGAATTGAGTCCGTGTCATTCTTGTTGAGTCAAAATAACTTGATAATTTAAGTTGGATGACAAAATGAGCCTCCTCAGCCAAAGACTTGGGAATAATTTATGAGATTTAAAGGCTTTGTAGGTGAACAACTCTTTAAAAGAAAAGTTTAGCTTTATTTATAGATATTGTAACATCAATAATCATCTCTTTTAAGAACTATGCTAGGATAGTATCAACATAAATATAATATATTTTTATTTATTTTAAAGCAGAATTATTAGCTCATCCACATGTGTAGAAAAAATATTGGGCCTACATTTTGTTGTGTATTTTATTCAAGGAGAGTGAATACTTACTTTTATAATAATCTCAATTTTTAAATTCATGTTGTTTTCATTAGAGCAGAAATTAACACTGATTTTCAGTATCTATTTCATATTTAAAGTTGGAAAATGTAATATAGCCCCAGCAATCAAGGAGTGACCTATAATTATCCTATAATTTAGGAATTATTTGCAGTAAATACAACATGCACAGTATTTAAGTAAACTGAGTATATGTATGTGTGTGCTATGCTGTGGTTGCAGTTATATCATTCCCAATGGCATATTGTACATTTATTTGACCTACAGTTGTTCAAATCATATAGCTGAGTGGTCTTTTCCTCCATCAATTTAATACTTGATGGCAAAATAGGTCCTCTTCTTACTAAAGCATGAATACTAGCATTGTAATTTTTAGTTATGCTCTACAATTTTAATAAAGAAAATTATTGAAACAAATAATAAATCAAAACATTACCTATTATTGCGTGAAATAGTTTTTCAGACCTAAAGTGTGTCATTTTATAACTTCTTGCTATAGCTGAGTCATCCTGGAGGAAGGTGGCTATTGGGAAAACACTGGTCTTAGCTTCCCAACCAGGAAGCGCAACCTAAACTACTGGAAAGTTCTCAGTTAACTAAATACACAAATCTGTTTGATTAACAGTGCACTTAGGGCTAGATATGTGGGTAGTTAAATGTATATCATAGACATTTAGGATCTCTTGGTTTTGTTTCATTCCCAGAAAGGTGCCAGAAATGACACCTTTCTTGTGGGATCAGGGTGCATCTGTCCTATCTTATGGAATAAGTATTATACATCTTAGCAAAGACTAGTTTTCCATTGAATTCCATTTCAAAATGGGGGATTCTTTTCCAGGAAAAATAAAAATGTGTAAAAACTAACTTGAAAATTTTGATGGTAAAAAATCAAATATAAAAACAAATATCAATGCTCAAATATCATGATGGCAATCCTATAATCCTATCTAGCTCAAATTGTCTAACTATATCCCAAACATAAAGAGGAGGTGATGGTGGAGGAAGAAGAGGAAGCAGGCAAGGGGAGGGGGTAAAGAAAAAGAAGAGGAAGAAGAGAAGGAAGATGAGGAGAAGGAAAGAGGAACAGGGGAGAAAGAGAAGGCATACGATTTATCACTATAAAGTCTCAGTCCAAAGGAGTTAATGCATATTGATAAATAAACATGGGAACAGTGCAAGCCATAGTGGAGCAGCACCTTAGAGATTTTCAATTCAGACATCTCCCCTTTACGTTACCCTAACATAGAGCATTTCCAGACTAAAGGTTCTTCTATGGACCACACACCATTGGCACCTTCTGTCAGAAATTCAGAATTGTTCCCATGCCTGTGGATCTGTGTACCTCATAGTAGATGTTGCCATTTAATGAGGAAGGAAAATAGCCTCAAAGAGAAAGCTTATTGGTTTGAGGAATAGTGTCCCTGGTTCTTCAGTCCAATAAATTTAAAATGATTTTTATTTTGTCTACTCACAACAACTAAAGTTTGGCATTATGG